AAAAAATCTTTAACTATTTCAATGCGTTCATACTTAATTAATATCCAACCTTTTCTGAATATGTATGAGAAACCTATTCTATTCCGCCGGCATTTTAAGTGTTATAATATTATTTTAATGGCATATGTTAACACCACCAGCCATTTTTTTTTCCTTTTCATTCCACAAACCGGAAACGCGAATTTTCTCAGGAAGAGACAACAATGTTTAGATAATTAAAAAAAAAAACAATTGACCAACCCATATGTGTGATACATGGTTTATATAAACAAAGGAATGATGCATCATAAATATTTCAGAACTCAGAATTGGCCTTCAATTTTTCCGGTGGTTGTCTAAAATCATTGCAAACCCTTCAAAACAGAAATATGCAAATCCCTTGGATAGTCAAATATCAATATGCAGCAACACTCTTCTTCGTTACCATTGCTCTTACCAAAGTTACCTGTTTTCAGTTCAACTTTCCTTCCTTCCCAGATGATTCTAATCTATGGGTGAGCAAGAATTCAAGTATATTCTTAAATGCCATCCAAGTGTCCCCTGATATTCGAGGTCCCATACATCATTATTCTGGACGTGTTTTCTACGTAGAGCCATACCAGCTTTGGAAAGAGAAGAATAACCAAAACCAAATAGCTTCCTTCAACACCACTTTTGTTCTCAACATAACTCCAGAAACTACCCCTGGTGGTGAAGGCTTGGCCTTTATCTTAACTTCAGATAGGACTGTCCCAGAAAACAGTGATGGACAATGGATTGGTATTGTAAATGCTACTTCCAATGGAACTTCACAGCCTGGTATTCTAGCGGTGGAGTTTGACACAAGACACAGTTTCACAGAAGATGGCCCTGACAATCACGTTGGCATCAACATAAACAGCATCAACTCCATCCAACAGGTTTCGTTAATTAACATTCGGCTCAATCTATCTTCAGGTCAAGATGTCAAATTTCACATTCAGTACATCAATGACACAATATCAGTTTTTGGTGCCATGAGTGGAACTTCTGAAGAATCCATGGAGACCCTCTTGGTTTCTTCACCTCTTAATTTTTCTTCCTTTCTTCAAAATGAGGTTTACTTTGGTTTCTCTGCCTCAACAAGTAACTACACGTAGCTGAACTGTGTCAGATCGTGGGATTTCAGCGGGGATGATATTAGGGATGATGACAAAAGTCTCTTGTGGGTGGTTTATGTTGTCGTTCCAATCGTGATTGTTTTAATTATCATTGGTGGGTTGGTGATCTTTTTCTTGCGCCGGCAAAAGATTCGCCATATGGAGGGGCCAGAAGATGCATATCCAAGGATAGAGGATCAGATTAAATATTCCTCTATGGCTCCAAAGAAGTTTAGGCTAAGGGAACTAACGAAAGCAACTGGTGGATTCAGCCTTCAAAACAAGCTTGGACAAGGCGGGTTTGGAACTGTATATAAGGGGCTACTGGAAAATAAAGAGGTAGCTGTAAAGAGAGTTTCCAAAAACTCACGCCAAGGGAAGCAAGAGTTTTTAGCAGAAGTGACAACAATCGGAAGCCTTCACCATAGAAATTTGGTGAAACTCACTGGTTGGTGCTATGAGAATAGAGAGCTTCTCCTTGTTTACGAGTTCATGCCTAATGGAAGCCTAGACAAGTACCTCTTTGGTGACAAAGATTGTGGTTATAATTATGACTTTGAAGGAGGGTATTCTATAACATTGGACTGGGAAACTAGGCGAAGAGTGATTTATGGGGTGGCTCAAGCACTTGACTACCTTCACGATGGGTGTGAGAGAAGAGTTCTCCACAGAGACATCAAGGGCAGCAACATAATGCTGGACTCAGATTACAATGCCAAGCTTGGAGACTTTGGATTGGCTAGAACAATTCAGCAGAGAAATGAAACGCATCACTCTACAAAAGAGATTGCTGGCACACCCGGGTACATGGCCCCAGAAACCTTCCTGACTGGGAGGGCAACGGTGGAGACAGATGTGTATGCATTTGGGGTTCTTGTGTTGGAAGTAGTGTGTGGAAAGAGGCCAGGGAATGTGTATTCACAGGATGACTACAAGAACAGCATTGTGTATTGGGTGTGGGATTTGTATGGGAAGGGAAAAGTAGTTGGTGCTGTTGATGTAAGGTTGAAGAAGGAGGAGATTAAGGAGGAAGAGGTGGACTGCGTTCTTGTTCTTGGCTTGGCTTGTTGCCATCCAAATCCACACAAAAGACCATCAATGAGAACAGTTCTTCAGGTTCTGAATGGGGAAGCAGCTCCACCTGAAGTTCCTAAGGAAAGACCAGTTTTTATGTGGCCTGCTATGCCTCCATCCTTCAAAGATGCTGAAGATAGCTCCCTCATCCAGGGAACTCTCACTCCTTTCACTGAGATCACTGGAAGATGATGAAATAATAACCGGTTAGTTGAAGATTTTAAAGCACTCTTGGATTCACAGATCTTAGCTTTTCTATGTAAATACGTACACTGGTGTTAAATGTGTTGCAGCTTGATATATATGTATTGCACACAAACTTGTGTAATCTTTGGTGTCACTCAATCATGTACATAGGTTGTTTCTGCATGTCATTGAGCTCAGCATGTATTCAAAATGAAAGTGTTTTGTTTATAACTGTATGACTTTTATCTCCTTTCGTGATGGAACATTTGCTTGAATAGTTCAAAAGTAGGGTTTAGTCCCGCTGTTTGAGTATTAAACTAAAATTCTATTTACTTCTATTCGAATTTCGTTAATAAATTTAGACATTTGATACATTCTTTTGTAATTTCTTTGTATTGTGTATCTTATTATGAAGGAATTATATTGCTACTTACGAGATATTAAACTAGTCTTGAATGTGTTCAAGTTGTTTGACTGGTTAAAACTAATCATATCGGTTGTATTTTGTTTGGATGAATACTAAAATTATGCTTTATTTTTATCACATATCAAAATTGTATTACAGTATGATATCAAATTCGTAATATGTTTTTCTATATGACATTTGTTCGAATAGAACTAAATTCGGATTCTTTTGAATGCAAGTCTTTTGAATGAAAATATATAGTATTAATTGAAAAAGAAAATTTTGCTAAAATCATAGGTTCAACAAGCATTAATCACCTAGTCAATGAATTATTCTTGTGACTGTCCATGCTGAAAGTTTGATGTCGACATAGAAAAACTAAGGAATTAGAAAAGGCATTTTCACTTTGTACAGTTTTTATTTATGATGATGAAAAGGGGTCTTGTTTATATTTAATCTTACAAGGACCATTTTCATATGCAAAAAACATCAAAATATCAAAGAAAAAATAATTAAGCCTGGATTGTAGTTATCAGGGAAAAAAAATCAATATTATTAGTATTTAAAGGTTGTCAAAGTTAAGAAGGTTATTGGTCCCTGTCATTTCTCGTCCTTCATCTTCTCCCTAACATGGTCTCATAATAGTGAAAGGTATGCAACATTGATGGTGAAAGCAACTTTGAATTAGATAGTTTTACCTTGTAAAATAACTGTTGTTAAACAATTGGATAAGTCTAAATGGTTGATAATAATTTAATTGTGATATAAATTAGTGTCACAATTAATTATTTGTTGTTAAAAAGTGTATTTTTCTGAATAATTATTTTGAATATTAATGTAAATGATAATTTTAGTCATGATTTATTTGAGTTAAAATATATAATATAATAACCAAACTAAATAATTTGTACCTTTTATTAATTTAATCAGTTTAAAAAGTACTGTAAAAGCGGAAAGAAATATTTGTTGCGTAACCAACACAGACATAATAAAAAGGAGAACGAAACGATAAAAACTAAGGCCCATAAGAACACTGACAGCCCAAATTGTAGTTGGGCCTTACTAAAAACTACTAAGGGTAAAATCGTCAATACGAACCCTGTGGATTCCCATCTCCCTCCCAACCCTAATCCCTCCTCTTTAAATCCCTTCGATGAATGGTTCTCTACACTTTTCTCCTTCATTTGAAATCGGAAGGATTGAAAATATGTTGTGCGGCTTCGATTTCTGTTTGGTTCTTTACTGTTTGGTATTGTTTTAATATTTTATTGCAAATTCTCTTTTTCCCTTGAAAACCATGTGATGAATTCGGATTTACAATTTCTCACGACGGTCGTCTGAGATTTCCTGATGCAATGATCCTCTTTTTCTGATGGTTTTCTTGGCGTGTTTGATTTTTTCTTTGGTGAAAGAGTTTTTCATTTCGTTTTGCTTTTCTTTATTGGAGAACGGTTTTTACTACAGAATCATCTGAATCATCAATGACTTGTCGATTTTGAAATGAAGTTATAGTTTACAAGAAGTTACACGTCAATTTAATCTCAGAAAACGATTATACTTCATTTCCTTTTCTTTTTCTCATCTACTGATAATTGTTACTTGTTGAAATTTGAATGTTTTATATTATCATATGATAGCATTTGTTTTAGAACAGAAGTGGGAAGAATCCTCAGTTTTTCTTAAGAAATTTTTTTCTCCAATTTGTATCCTCGTCCCATTATTTTCAAACGAAGTATATTTTTTATTTGAAGAGGATTCTGTTCCACGGGACTGGAAAATCAATCAGAATTTGGATTTCTCAATTGCATTTATTTTTTGTTATGTTTAAGTAAATGTATGTTATTTTTTAAGTAAATGTCTAGTTCTTTGTGTGTTTTTTTAATGATAAATAAGTATGTAATTTGTTGGGATAAATAATCTTTTAAATTTAAATTAAATAATAATCATTTAAAAATTTGCGATTTCAAAATTTGAAATATAATCATTTAACTCTTAGGATTATATATTTGTTTTTTAACTTATGTTTGTTTAATATATTTAACAAATATTTATATTAGTTATATCTAAATATATTTAAATTGAACATCAAATTAATATTTCAAAATTTAACATTTATAATCAAAGAATTGTTCATTTTATGGAATAAAAAAGAAACAAAATATTGGAAAACCCAGCTGCAAATTTTGTTTTCTGGATAGAACAAAGAATTCGGACTAGATGAAAACAAATTATTCTTTTTTGAGAATTGACAAGAATTTGAACATAATAGCAGGGATTTGCTGGTAATCATCAATCTTGCAACAGTTTCATGAATTTGAATTTTTCATATTAAATGCTATGCCACTACTGCTGATTTAAAAATCTGGATTGCAGAATCTTATAATGAAAGGAGTTCCTGAATCTCTGAATCTACCGGGTACAATCTTCATATATTTGAATCTAATGGTAGATATGTACCAGCTCCTAATTGATCATGACTGCATATGATGGTCCAGTGTATAGGCATGAATGTCAGAAGCACTGGTACCAGGCCTAACAAAAAGAAGAAAAAGATGATCTAGTAATGCCAAAATTGGTGTTTCAGTTTTCAATATTATAGACAAACATATAGATATTCTACACAGAATATGGAAATACCTTTTGTTAATAGTACCATAATGGAATTTAGGCTTTCCTCCTGCCTTCTTATCTTCAACATACTGCAGCATGAGAAAATGCCATAAGATATATTATTACTATGCAAAAATTAAGACTTTAAGCATAAAAATATGTTGAAGCATCTGAACCATACCAAACTTAAAGTGACCACCATTGATGAAAAGGATAGAGAGTTGAAAGGTATTTCATCGAGAGGGAAAAGCTGGCATTCTGATGATTCTGGACCAGGTGAAAAATGGGGATTCTTCAACCTTGCTAAGAAGATTATATAAGTCTGCCTCAAACATGCCATAATCATGACTAAAAATTTGTAGCTACATTAGAAGATCAAGTAAAAAGAGTGAAATAATAAATAAATGCTGATTATTTGTTACCTGGCCAATTAAAGGAATGTCTAATTGAGCAAAGGGGGAAATCACTTCTACCTCAGCATTGGCTTCTTCCCTCGTTTCCCTGATGGCACCTTCCCTAGCTGACTCTCCCATTTCTAGATAACCAGCAGGAAGTGTCCTTGTTCACACCAAAACATGAAATCAACATAACACAACATCGTTAGCATTTTTGTTTTTATAAAGGTTTCAGATAAAAGAACGTGGTACCAACATGATATGTTCATGCAGAAAAAGTGTGTACTGTAATATTTCACAATAACCAGCAATATCAGTGAGATTCCACTGCCGATAAAGATGAATTTACAAAGAATTACAAGACTGAACTGAAGGAAAGAGATACAATAACATGGTATCACCAAATTCTTCATTAAATTGTTGTCTAACTCTACTCTTCTATTATTTTTGTATTTTGCAGTGGCATACAGCAGAATTTCCCTCCAACTTCTCCCCTTTAGTAGTTTTGCCAAGAATGTAAGTGGAATGAATGAAAATGACCAGTAAAGTTAGAAATGCAATCTTACCATAGGCCATAAGATGGTTCAATCTTCCTCTTGCAAAGGAGGACCTTGTTATCGTGTTCAATGAGGCAACCGACTACCTACTTTGTCATCCAAATGCATGTAATGATCAGAAGAAAAAGTAGTGAGCAGAGTCCTCTTAATAATTTTGGATGTTGTAATCATGAAAATTTTGCCTCATCACTCCTAATATTTAAAATTTAAGGCACAGTTTTAATATTTTAAGCTATTGTAATATAATTGTATTTTTACAAAATAAAGCACAAAAGAAAGGACCAGTGCAAATTTGTGGTCTTTTAAAATCTGGAGATCCTCAGTAATGAGAAGTTTTCTGCAGAGGGTTTGCTTGCACAACTAGTACATAATTTTGCACAAAATAGAAGTACTTCATACCACTTTAAAACAATTAGCACGTGATTAATTATGAACCACATCAACTTCAGAAATAATTCATGCATTACATATTAAATAAAGTCCAAAAGCTGATATAACAATGTGCTTCCTCAAATCAACTAATGCTATGTCAAGATTTAACCACATTTTTTTTTCTCAATGCAAGCATGAAATTTCCCTTAAAAATCTAGTAAAAGTCATAATATTTAAAATAACAAGTCATAACTTATAAGTACTGTCAAACACTATCAGTCTAAAGGATCATACTAAATCAACTTGAATATAAAGTTAGGTAATCCATAAAACTACCAATCTCCATATAGTTACACCAAAAACAATAGAATCAAACCATCCATCAGAAAATAGCAACAGTATTATTTAATAACATCAGAAACATTGTGAGATTTTAGGAAAAAACAAGGTGGTTTTCTTATATGGCATGAAAGTAAACGAGGCATGATCTTTTAAGCATTTACCATTTTTGGATTCTGATATGCAATCTTCCCACAGCTGGTACATATAGCTCTGAATCTTTCTTCTCCTTCAGGTATTCCAGGCTTCGTTGGACCACCACACCACTGACAGAACTCAACGTTTTGAACATCTCCCTACATTGCAATGGAACTTGACAATAAGACCAATAGCTATAAGATAAGAGAAACTCTATGGTACCATCTGAAATTTAAGGATTCTGGTACCGTTGTTGAAAAACTCTCTTTTCCTCTCTCACCATTAGTGTGCCTAAACTCATTAAGATACTGGCCTAAAAAACAATATTACAAAAACCCATAGATTTCTGTGGGTACCATAGTAACTCTCATATAAGATTTGTAGAGAATAAAAGATATCTTTCTGATTGAATCCATGGAAAATCTGCTGCAGAAAAGGGGCATTCTTATAAAATCAATAGTTAATCCATAATGAAACTATATATAATATAAAAGAGTAGAATTGCTCATCTATCTACCACCACCAACTACTCAAATCCTTCATACAACAAACTCATCAAACTTAATTATAAAAGTAAGTGAAATTTGTTAGAGATCTCACAAAACTATGTAGAAGTAAACCTTGCCCTCACTAGGTTGCAACTGGAGTTCAATCAATTAGTAGGATGAAATAGTTTATAAGAAAACTAATCAGCACCAATAAATTTCTGCATAAATTGTATAAACTAAAACTAACTTATGCAAAAATAATAATAAAAGTTTCCAGAGATAATTATCCATGCCGTAATTTCAACATTAGAGGATTGATTTTCCAAATATTTGATAAGACTAAAACAATGAAGGGCAATATTCATTGTTATAATTCAACAGTTGAAGTAACTCACAGTAGAATGAAGAGATAACGAAGGAGAGTGGTCAGAAGAAGAATCCATAAGGAGATTGAACTCAAAAGAACCCTTGATTTTACGAGGTTTCGCAAGGCAAGAAACAAGAGCAGAGGAAGAAGAAACAATCACGTTGTGAATCGAGGAACAAGGACACTGATTTACAGAGAAACAGAAAAGGAAGGCTATCCTCTAGGGTTGTGGCATAACTGTAGGGTCATGGAGTTCCATCTTTCACCGTTTACAAACTTGCATTTTGTTTTATGATTTTAGATGAAACTTTTGGACGGTGGAGATTTGTGCTTCTCAAATTTCAATAGCGAAGAACCATTTCCGACAGACGATGACATGGGAGCAACAAATGTGATTGCGACAACATTTGAATTAAATTCAGATTGTTATTATCAAGGAAAAGTAAGCGAAGAAATAAAAGAAAATATAAATAAATTTGTAAATAAAATTGACATTTATGAAGGATTATCATAGACTAAAATTGAAAAAAGGATTATCATAGGCTAAAATTACTAAACTTTAAAAAAATTGAAAAACTAAAAGTAAATTAAATTTTTGCAGAAAGTAAAGCTGTACGTACACGTAAAATGATAAGGATAATGATCTTAGATGACAAAATGACACGTGTTAAAATATTTTTAAAAAAAATGTTGTAAAAATATCATTATTTAAATTATAAAAATCAAAATAAATTTAAGTTCCATTATTTATCTAATTATTTTAATATTACTATAAATTAAAATCAACCTTTCTATGTCTCATTTTTCATATTTTTTTTTTCACTTTTAAAGGTCGAATTTACTCGCTAATTTCAAATTTCAAAGAAAAAAATCGCTTTTTAAAATATTTTCAAATTATTCTTAGTTTTTTATTCATATCCGAACTTTTCAATGATTTATATTCAATTTCTTCTCTTTTACCTCTTAACTAAATTTCAATGTTTCTTATTTAGAAATGATCATTACTTAAAATTAATTTTATACAGTAATTTAAATTATTTTTATAATTTCAAGATTCAATTTATATATTTTAGAGTATTTACTTTAAATTACCATTTATATATTTCAATAAATTATTCATTAGAATTTTTAATTATACAAAAAAAAAAACATAAATTTATCTAGTAGGATACAATACTAGTTTGACAAGGATGAATAGAAGACAGATTCAGACAAGTTTATTTTGTCTCTCTCTTATCCAATTATTGTTTAAATTACCATGATATAATCAAAACTGAAAATACATTACATGTGAAAGACTCTTTTCATGTTTAACCAATTAATTCCCAAGAACAGTACATGGATCAATTATAGTGAGAAAAATCTAATTTTGAGAATATTTTCACCCAAGAAAGATTTATTCAACAAAGGACCCATTTTAGTCTTATTATCAATTCTTGTTGAGGTCAATCAATATTTTAAAATGACTCAAGCAATTAGTTGGCTTGTTCTAAGCCACAAGTGATATTTCTCTATTTTTTTTTCTTAAAATGACAGGTTTCTCTCAATAATAAATAATCAGCATTATTTTGAGGTAGAAGAAAAGGACCATGCTGACAACTCAACTACAATGATGATGACAGACTATGGCATGTCTCATGAATGTAACTCTGGTTGATTTTCTGAAACACCAAGCAAAAAGAATGTTAGTTAACTCGGGTAAAATTGCCATGATTTCTGCCAAAATGTTTCTGGCTTATGAATTTTACTCCTAAATTGGTATAAATGGCTACTCCATACACAGAAAGAAAGCATAGCTAAATTTTTTGACATTTTCTGAAAGAAATATTTGCTTAAAAGAGAAAGTTTGCAACTCCAGAAAGAAGGCAGAGCTAAATTCTTTCCGTTTATTGAAAGAAAATCAGAAGACATATGAATGAAGAATTGAAATATGTTGGAGAACAATATCTCACTTCACTCCTTCAGTATACATAAATTGATGAAAAGGAATGGAAGTGATCTAGTTCTAAATTGGTGATATGAAGCACCATACAATCAATTTTCTAGAACAATAGAATTTATACATGCCAAAAATATAAAGAAATGGGTTTTGTGTACAATAAATTAGCATGGGCATTTACTCATTGCTAAGAGCCACAGGGTTGTAGCAAGGGTTTAGCTTAGTTGGTTGAACAATGTGTACAAGTTATTCTAAACTGTTTGATATTACAGTTTGACTTCTCCATTTTAAAGGAAAAAGGAGTAAAGAAGCACTCACTCCCTAATACAAGGTCAGTTTATCACACAAAGATTGATAAGCAGCACTGCAATGCTTGAACCTTTCCTCTGCTATAACCTATCAAGAATAACTAAAAGAATTAGTAAGCTCAACTCAACATGTAAGACAGAAATTCTTCAATAGGAAAAGAACAAAAAAGCAAGAATTACTTAGCTATTAGAGCCTGGCAATACCTTAGAAAAGCCTTGATGACGATCTGGATGCCACTTTAAAGCAGATATGCGGTACCTGTTTTCATAAGGATGTTTAGAATCACATTGAAGAGAAAATGCAAAAGAACTCAGAAAACACATTAAAGAGAAAACAGAAAAGAACTCACGCATTTTTCACATCTTCAAGTTTCAGAGGGCCAGAATCACTCAATCCAAGGGCTAATCTATATGAAACTACATCTGAGTGTGAACAATCAGACTCTGCTTTGGTTGATTTGCCATATTCATTTTCACTTTGATGTCTCCACTTCTGAGATTTCCTGTTATTAGAAAAACCTCCTGACCTCTTCTGACGATTCTCCTCATTTATAAAGGACCAATAGAAAGATCCATTGCCACCGAAGGAAGAGCGAAAACCAGTCTCAACATCAAAATCATCTTTGCAAAATTCATGACCTCCTGAAAGACATCAAGTTTGTTTGAAACATGAATCCAGAACAAGCCCATTAATATCCAGAATCTTCTTTGCACTACAAATAAAAAAAGACACTGCAGCTTGTTTAAGAAAACTTGTGATGCAAGTTAAACCAAAACCGCTACATGATCTGTACTAGTTAAACCCACCAATCCTTCCCAACAGGGCATGAAAATTTTCTACACAAGATGCAATTAGAAAAATCCCCAGATGAAACCATCTATCAAATTCTAACCAATAGAGCCTTCAAATATAAATCCATAACAAACCCTACAATATCCAGAATCTTCTTTCAACAAAAAATAACAGAGAAAGTTTTCCAGACAAGACGCAGTAAGAAGATTTCGAGAAGAAATCGTTTAACAAACTCTAATCAAGAGAGCCAGTATTGCAAGGTAGTCATACTATTATAACATAACTATGTCAAGCATCCTTACTTCTGAACCGATGTTTTGATCTTTGTTTGCCATTCCAGTGCCTTCCAGAGTGTTTTCTGAACCAGGACGGGCCTTGACTGGGAGAAGGATCATCCTCATCGACATCTTCTTTCCCACTCTAAGACATGGAAAAAAAAGAAAGCACAAGCATTAGATGCAACATCTTACAAATAACTAAATCAGGATAGAGCGCATATAAGGGAACCATCTAAAACTAGGACCAAAAGAGTTCATATTAAAAAGAACTACAAAAGTAATGATACTGTGGACTTCTCAACATCACCACACTAGGGGGCTTAGAGCAATACAAACTTTATCCAAAATTACCAACACTAGAAAATTATATGGGTTCACTACAAAACATAGTGAACAAACAGTTAACAAATCATATAACTGAAAAGTAAGAACATTAGCCAGTAATAGGCAATCAAAGGTTATAGTCCAGATTGGACAAATGCAAATTCTGTTCACAGTGGAAATGTTGTCATCGCAAAGTTATAACATAAAACAAAGGACAGAACTTAGATGCATCTCTTTAGGTGTTTTTGCTGTTTTAGTTTCACCTCAGAAACTAATTCTGACTTTAAATGAGGACCTCACTAGGACAGGTTACCAATATGACACTCAAATTTTAATCACATAACAACACCTAAGACATCTAACGAACTTTCCCTATGTTCCGTCTTTAAAATAAATCTGAGAAAAAACATTAGGAAGCCAAGGTGCTGTGATCAAGTTAAACTCTGGTATGATTTTTTCCAAGATTTTGTGGTTTCTGTAAATAAAGATACCTCGATAAATGGAATAAGGGAATGGCAATATGATAGCTAGTGTTGGAATTTGAAATGGAGAAGAACTTTGTTTGAGTGGGAAAAAAATCAACAAGAGATGGAAATAATCAATTTGAACAACGGGTATGTTTGGAGGAAACTTTCCCGCAAGCCCTTCAAGGAAAAAGAAGGAAAAAAGAAACCATCTTCTCCTCATGCTAAAATTACTCTATACATAAGCTAAAATTAGATTTTGGAGAAGTCAACAGGAAATAATTTCTACATGGTGAAGTCTCTCTTTAAGCGTAGTTAATTGTGAAAAATATAGTAGCTACTTTTGTTTGAACCTTAACATATACCCAATAAAAATCATTTTTTCCGTGAATAGTGTTTCGATGAGAACTTTGAAAACCCACCAAAATGTATTGAGCAACACTAACCGGAAACATGAATTGCGCGTAAGCATTGACATCGCGGAGCAGTGTTTGTTTGGCACGAAGTCTTCCGAATCTTCTCGAGTGATCGTTGCATCTCTGCGAGCAAAAGGGCGTAAGAAAAAAAAATTGTGAAGAACTTATGTTGAACTAGACAAGGTGCAGTTCAAGGGACTGACGGATTCCCGAAAGGTGTGAGCTTTGCGTTGCAAGTGATGAGTGGAATGAAAGAGTCTGGTGAAGTTGGTCTTGTTCATTTTTCTCAGAATCTTGAAACTGTGAACAAAAAAAGGGAAAGGTAAAAACTCATTGATTCTTCCTAAGAGGGTGAATCATGCCCAAGAGTGTTTTTGTAATTTGTGTTTCAACACTAGATCTTAAAAGAGTAATATTTTAACAATTTTTTATTTACACTTTTTAAAATTAACTCGATTGTAACTTAAACTTATTAAATGAATAAAGTTGAATAGAGAAGAGATTAAAATTGAAACTAATAAATTGATTTTGTCAGAAGTTGGAGTGGAATATATGTGCAGATAAAAATGTGACAGCTAACCCTAGAGAGTAATGCAATGCTGTCATGAAGAACGAAGATGGAATGGAACAGACAAGGATGGTAGTGAGTGGGTGGGAACAACCTTTGTGTTTCAATCTCACAACTATTAACTCAGTGGTGAGTTGCCTTCTGCATAATTCTCCCACTTCCTCTCCCCAAAACTCATCAACCCTTCAAAATTGTGGAAACACATGAATAATTAAGGTAGTTAAATCACCATGACTTTACTCGTTCATTGATGAAGTATAATTACTAAATAAAATTAAATTTTTGAATTACTAATTTCAAAATTATATTGTATTCTAAAAACATAATTAATCTTTCTTCCAATTGAGGTATCGTGGGTTCTGAAATTTTTTTCTATCACCCTTGTTTTGTTTAAAAAAAGACTTAATGTTTAATTTGGTCCCAGGGTCGTTTGTTTAAAGTGGTCGTTTGTTTAAAAAAAATTAAAAATATCTTCATTTGTGTAAAAAAAGTTAGTTATTTTTACGTGTTAAAAATTTAATAGTGTAATTGTTCTTTTCACCAAAACTAAATGAGTTGTCTACTTTTTTATTGCGTGACACGTTGAGGTCAATTACCCTTTACCTCAATCAAAGTTTTAGAAAATCTTAACTTGCATTTTCTTGAACAAACTCAGCAGCGTGGGTTCTTCGTCCAACAAGGAGACACCCTCCTCCTTTCTCTCCTCTGTTTATGGGTTGGCATAATTGGGAACCTTTCTTCTTTCATTCTTCTTGTTATAGTTCTGTTCATATTAGGGTTCCGAATTGGGGTTTTATTTTTGAAATTCTGATCTCGCGACGATGGGTTTCCTTCATTGGATTGTGTTTGTGTTTTGTTTTTCTCTGCAGGTTAGTGGCGCAATGGTTAGGGTTCTTCGTGATGTTACAATTTGGGGATTTTAGGGTTTTCGTTTGGAATTGAGGGTTTTTATTTGAAAATTTATTGTCTCTTGTTTCTCCTCTCCAGATTGTTAATGCTATTTGGGGGTTAGGGTTTTCGAATTGGGGTTTTGTTTTTTGATTTCACGTTTTGGGATTATCTGAAATTGTATTATGATCTTGCATTTTTTAGGTTTCTAGAATCTTTCATCTTGTGGGTTTTTTTTGTTTTGTTTTTGAAATAAAGCTTTGATGGTTAATTGTTTCTAACCTAATTGTAATTTTCCATAACCTTAAATTTAACTTTTTCACGTTATAAACTTTTATTTTTAAAATTTGCATTTCAATTGACTTCAAGGCACGGCCCAATCAATAAATTTTAAACTTTTTTTAAAAAGTATGACCACTTTGAACAAATGACATATTCAAGTAACCAAAATATGTATTAAGTCTTTCTTAAAAATATCTCACAAGATTGAATAAAAAATAAATATTTAAACTGTATTTAATTTGAATTGTTAAATGATATGACACTATTGAGTAAAGTAGAAACCTCTCTTAAAAAATTAATAATATAATTATTTATAAATAAAGACGTTAATGTAGCTAAAACATTAATTGGTTTAAACCCTCGGATGGATGGTCCTCGTATTTGTACGAGAATCTCAAGTAAGTCCTCATATTTCCAACTGTCTCAATTGGGTCCATATATTTGTAAAAGAGAGTTACTCTCTCCACCACCACATACTGCTTATTGCACCTCTTCATTTCTCTTTTATCCTTCAGTAATATTTAAACGGTAATATTTAAACGAATGTGAATATGTGTTAGATTTTTAAACAGATGACAAGATCTATGGATGGATATCGACATCCATTGAAGGACAAACAGATGTCGATATTCGTCCATGGATGTTGACATCCGTTTAAGAATTGAGGGTACACGAATGTTGACATCCGTCCAACCACATATAGTGATTGCACAAGATAGAAGTATTATAGTGGTAGTTGTGGGTGACTCAATTAACAATGTTTGGGTATTGGGTGAGGTCATTTAAGTGAGCATGCAAGAGTTGGTTTGGCAACAAAAGATAGAGTTTTGTACGTAAACCAGAAGAAAGAAGAGAAGAAGTAGAGGAAGGATGGGTTGTTCTCGGGTTTGAGTGGTAGGAGGAAAAGAGAATGAAGGGTTTTCGGGTTGAGAGTTGAGAGTTGGGCGAACAATGAAGTGAATAACGGTTAGTTGGAAGATGATATAGGAGTGAGTTGAGTGTGGTGTATTCTTGGAATTTAGTAATAAGCCAAGGGAGGTCTTGCATGCAGAGGCTCTTTATTTGAATATATATTTTGGGTGTAGGTCCCACGACAGGGAATGCAGAGAAGATAGAAGTGTTGAGCAAGGTTGAGTGTGGGAATTGGAAGGTTAAAAAAGAGTTGGGGTTGTGGTGGTTGGAATGTTTTAAGTGAGTAGAGTGAAGTAGTTAAAAGAAAAAAAATAAAGATGAGATGATATGAAAGATTGGAGGAGAAGAGTGTTGATGGGTGTTGGGGCTTTGTTTCTGTGGTGAGAAAAGAAGATAATGAGGTACATGGAAAAGAGTGATGGTTGTTAGTGTTGAGTTAGCGGAAAGTATGGGAAGAAGTAGGAAACCTAGATGACTCTAGGGGTGAGTGATGAAAGGGAAGAGAGTATGGAGTAATGAAGAGTGTGTGTAGGTTTTATGAGAAAAGAGGAGAGTATGGTTAGAGTAGGGAAGAGAATATTTGATGGTGTGATTAACATGCATGTATGTAAAAGTAAGGAAAGAAAAGCAAGAGGGAGAAGTGTGAGGATATGTGTCGTGAAATTAGAGAGAGAATGTGAGGATTGAGTGTTTTGGGTTGAAGAAAAGAAAAGAAAAAAATAAATAGAAGAGTTATTGTGTGGTGTGTGAGATGAAGTAAGTAAGAGAAGGAGAAGGGTGGTATTATTGAATGTTTCTACATAAAAGTGAGAGTTAGTGTGTTTGGTGATTGAAACAGTGGAGTGATGGGTTCCACAATGAGAGTGAAATTATGTTTATGCATGGTGGATAGATACGTTCAACCTAAAAGTGAAGCCAAGAAAGACATATCTTCTATGTTTGATCAACGCTGCAGTGAATGATGAGCTCTTTTTCAGCATAGCAAACCACACCATGACAGTCGTTGAAGCTAATGTTGCATATGTTAGTGGGGTGTTTACACCATGGACTTCCCAATTGTGCCTCCCTTCTGCAGAATGTGCAAGTGTAGGAGCCTGGAAGTGTAAGGGTGTAGGGAAATTTAGAGTTTTAAAAAGGTAAATTAAATTAAATAGTAAAAGTTAAATTAATAAGGATACTTTTGGAATAAAAAAAATAATGGGGAGGTGTAGGGAGCACTTGGGGTGGTGGAGGGAACAACTCTCTTTGCAAAATATCTCAATTGGGTCCAAATATTTGAAAAATTAAACCAATTAAGCCATGTCCGTTAAATTTTCACAAACGACGTTAAAATATGTTGAGGTGGATATTTTATTAAAAAAAATATCCTACCAATGATAACATGGAATTTAATAAATTAAAAAATAATAGAAAAATTATGCAAGCAGAAAAAAAAAAGGGGATAAAATGGCCTGCACTCAGAAAAACCACAAAGAGCCAATTTGGAAAACCCTTTGAACCCCAAATCGCCACTGCCTCATCATCCTTGCTGTCATCTCCTTTGCAAAACCCTAGCCCCGGAAAGTCGTCGCGAAGACGCTACCACTGCTGCGCCGCAAAGCCGAATCGCGCCACCAAGAAATCCCAACTCGCGCTTCCATGACCACAACCACAAAGCTTCTCACCTCCATCATCCTCACAAACCTCAACCTGCAAAGACAACCAAAGAAGCACAGAAACCTAATCGCGTTTCTCCTTATTAGGGCGCCATGCCTCCGCCATTAAGCACCACCGCGAGCAGCCCTTAGCTCTGCAAAACGCGAAACCATCACCACTTGCAAATCAAAGAAATAACCAGTTTCGTCACCACGGGTTTGAGCAGGGTTGGGTTGGAAAAAAATACAAATTTTTTATGCGAGCCAATTTTGACCCGGCTCACGCGGGTTGAACCCTGGGTGGGTCGGGTTGGCTCACCAACCCATCTATTTTTTTAATTAAATTAATTATTCAAATCCTTTTTTTTTATTGAAATAAAATTAATTATTCAAAATGCACAACATTTACTTAGCAATAGAGCTTTTCGCGCTGGTGTCTTTCCAAAAGTTCCCTTCTGGAAATAAAACCCTAAGATTATAGTTTGGATAATATTATAGATGGAGATAAAGAAGAAGATGCTTCAAGAGAGCATAATATTGTGGATTTATCCATTCAGAACTGCAATTTAATAGATGGATAATTCAGGAATATATCATTTGTTTTATCTTGTTTTTAGACCTATCTACAAGCATGACAGTTTTATCTTGTGTTATATATTTTTGTTAACGGTTATATGTAGTTTCTTGGTCAAACGGTTGTTTATGTCTCATTAAACTGAATTGGCAAAATTTTATGCTTGATAGCTTAGAATATATATAACAATATATTTATTTTGTTTCATTTTCTTTTATATCAATTGGTCCAATTATTACTGTTTCAATTTGATTGATCAAAGCAACATGTTATAAGAATCTAAGAAGAAGAGGGTGAAAAAAAAGTTAATTAAGTGAGCCAATGAGCCAACCCGTTTAACCCACCAACCCGTGGTGGGTCGGGTCAGGTTCAAATTTTTTCGGCTCACTAATAAATGAGCCGGGTTGGGTTGGCTCACTAAGTGACCAACCCGTGGTGGGTCGGGTCGGGTCGGACCAGGTTATCGGTTTTGACAGCTCTAGAAACAACAAGAACCAGAAAACCCAGATTCACATTTGCCTCGCGA